AGCGTCCTACTAGTTCTGATTTGTTGTTTTTGGTCAGAACGGTGCATTGCTGTAATTCAGGAAGGAGGTGGAGGAGATTGCGATTCCTAGCAGAAATATATGTTACTGTATATGTATAATAATATGTTACTGGATTGGACATCACCTATTAGCTCCAAAAGCCATTGATGTGTACCTGTGGACGGCGGACACCATTAGTCATGTCCACAAAATCATTTACTGTTCCAATGTTGGATGAGTAGTAATCTGTTACAAATAATAGTTATAGTCACCATATTGCTGATCCAATTTCTTTAATATGTGGCTTACATTAAAGATGCAAAAAGTGCCAATGTTTGAATATCTAAACTATGAATTCTCTCTGGATGTAGACTCATTGCCATGGCAACCATCAGATAACAGCTCCAGGAGTTGAACGAACAAAGATTAAGTTCAAATGTATTAGGAATTAACATAAAAAAATGCACTAAAATAATTCCCACACAAAGTACGAAGAAATATCAAAACAGAACATTCAGTCCGTTACAGTTTTATGGCTTTTGAATTTTCAGGCTTGATGTTTATTTTAATTAAGAAGTGATCGCCTGAGCACTCGTGGTAGTTGATTAGCTCATTTAAAGACCTGGTCCATTGATAAGCTGTCCTAAAGTAGATGGGGGGAAAGGGCCGGCCCACACGTTTGCAGTTAATAGAGACCCCACTGTTACCAACTCAGCGACTTTCTTGCTACATTTAGCGACATTTCAGACAAAAACAATTGGTATTGTCCAAAATCAATCAGGGATCGGCCAGAAAACTGCAATTGGTGCACCCTATCTTAAGATGGTGTACATACACACATATTTATGACATACTTTGATTAAATTATTTTTTTCTTAGGTGTAATTACAATAGTTAAAAATTTTGTTTATACCAGGTGAGTCTTTCTCACTTGAGAAGGTGAACCGGTACTGGGCTGATTCTGAGCCTTCAAATAATTTTAATTGGAGAAGTCTCACATTACTTAGAAGTTGATGTAAAAATAATGTTTGTTTTAGATATATAAATGATCATGCTCAGCGGCAAACTAACTACAGCTTGGAGTCGCTCATTGATATGTCAATGTAGTACCCACACAACCTGATAAAAAAACATGGTAACACTTTATTTGAAGGGGGTTGAATGAGACTGAGATGACACTGTCATAAACACCTGTCATGAACATGAATAAGCCTTCATGAATATTTATGACTGTTGTCATAAAGTGTCATTCAGTAAATCATGACACTTTTAATACAAAGTTGACATTGTTCAAAATGTCTTTGTTATGACAACTTGACATTAAGCAAGAAATTATAACTTGTCATGAATGTAATAACAGGTGAATTTTAAAATGTTATCCTTATAAGACAGCATTTAACAAGTCATGAACATTTCCAGTTACCTCAAGTAAAGTGAACCACACTTACTTGAGGTAACTGGAAATGTTCATGACTCTGTCATTAAAGCAATAGAGTAATGACACTCAATGACATCTTCAATTCTAGTTTACTGTGATACACTTTAACAGAGGAGGATAATGTCACAAATATAATGATCTCATGACAGCACAAGTGACTGTTCAGTCTTATTCACCCCCCTTCAAATAAAGTGTTACCAAAAACATTCTGAAGTTTTAATTATTCTTATCAAACTTTATCAAACACGTCGCTGTTGAAACCAAAAAAGCCCTCAAAAACAAATCAGGCCAATCATGAGACAACTGTTTTAAAATTAAAGCTCAGTTTCACACTAATACAAACATTCTAGCATAAATGTTTGGCTGTTGAACTGGACTGTTCAAGGTCGCTATCAAGCTAAGTTTCTATTAGCAGCTCAGCAAATCTTTTTGATAAACATTACATTACCAAGACCCATGCAAACAAACTTTTATCTTGGCTTTTTTCTGTTCTTTTTTCTTTTATCTCTCCCTGAAGGATAAGTCCTTTTTTGCGACATTGTGATGTCACAAAAAAGCCGGTGATTTGGTTTTTGGATGCGCACTGCAGAGCAGCTCATATTACCGTGCAGTGCGGTACCTACCGCGGCCACCAGGGGTCCCCAAGAGCAATTTATTTTTTAACTTTTCTTTTTGCCCATATAAGAAATATTTCTACATACATGATCAAATATATATTATTGTAAAATAAAATCACAACTTTATAATGAATTTATGTGTTATTGTTGATATAATCACATTGAAATAATTGCTAAAAAAAAAAAAAAAATCTGTTCCACTTAACACCTAGCGGCCCCAGAACCCTAAAAGGCCATTTAGTTTGCTTAGGCCTTGAGCCGCCCTTGCTTTGTTCACAGAGATTAACCATTCTCAACACTCCCTCAACACGCACTTCTGAAAGCGCGACTACAAGTTATTCCTACGGTTCACATAGAGCTCTCTGTGCCTGTGTCCAGTTTGAGTGAAAGGAGGCGTGTGCGATCCTTCAGAGTTAAAGCAGCGGCAGCGTGCGAGGCAATGCGCAGAGGTGCTAGATGTGTGATTAGTCCGCTCTCCTGGCTTTAAATGCATCAATAATAAACTTATCCTTTAGAAATAAAGCTGTTCCACCAGTGAAACACTCAGAGCAACAGAGACACTTGCAATCTGGTTTTATATATATATATATATATATATTAAAAAAAGTTTTTATTTTTATTTTTTATTATTTTTCTAAAACCAAAATCAAGCAAGCCTGGCGGTGTTTTAAAAGCTTGGCGGGCTGACGGAAACCCTGTGATGTAAGTCCATCTGTACAGTGGATTTATTTGATTTAAGAATCTTAATAGTTTCTTTAATTTCATCATGTGTGATTGGAGAGTCACATAATACTTTGTTTTGGTCACCAATTGTTTCAGGAGAATGTCTAGACTCATACAATGATTTGTAAAAAGTTTCACATATGTTTGCAATCATTTTGTGGTCATCAATAATTATGTCATTTGAATTTGCTTAGTGATACCATTTTTTAGTTTCTTTGCTTTTCAAGTTTGAAGAAGTTGCTTGAATTTTGTTCACCCTTTTTTAACCCTTTGGCCTGTGTATGTATAAGAGCCCCTTTTTGCTTTTTGTAATATAAAGTTGATCAAGTTATAGCTGAAGGGTTTGTAACTTGGCTCTCTTTAAGTTATGGGTGTGTGAGTGAATGTAAGTGTGCATAAGTGCTTGTTTGCAATGTTAAGATGTGAGAAAATTTAATAAAATATATGAAAATATAATAACTTACATGACCTCAAGTGTGTTTTGGGTGGATCATAACAAAACAGACATTTACACTGGTTTTGGAATGGATAAAGCAGGCTAAATTGAAACTTCTGGAATAGCTCTTATCCAAGTCATGTTAAAAATCTATGGACTATGCTTAAAAGCCCATATTTTACATGAAAAGTTGAGGAGTGGTCAACTACCCAGCCAAGGTTATGGCAGAAGCTAGATGTTTCTTTGCAATTTGCTAATAACCATTTCATCAAATATTAGTGGGGGTGTTTGTTTATATTTGTGCCTATTTGGATTATAAGAAACCCACAAAAATTCCAGCAAGTGAACAGCTCTTTTCTTTTAAATGAATTAAAATTGATAGAAATATTGATATTATAATCATTTCACTAGGAAAAAAATCATGAAACGCCATAAATTTATATGACATGCAGATTATGTAAATAGTAATACATCTTATTTATATGGCACGTTTCCAAGTTCTCAAAGACTCTTGAAACAACATAAGGTATGCATGACAGCAGGTCAACATTGCAAAGACAATGTTGTTCTGTATAACCAGAATTTTTTGCCTTTGCTGTTACTTTTCTTTGTTCCTTTTTACCCCAGGAGGACTAGTTGATGAAGTAACTGGATCAATTTACAAGTAGGTCTTATTGACAGTCACACAAGAAAGAAAGTACTCCCTTTCACCATTTCTGGGTTCTCATGTGAAACATGATCTGATGTTTAATAGGTTGAAGTATTATTCAAATAAAACCTCATGTGTTCAAAATGTAAATTTTAACATGTTTTTTTTTTTGTTCATTGTTATTTTAAATTGGAAATCCAAGGAAAAATTAGGTTCAGTCCAAAAAATAAAGCGGCACAAAAACCTAAGAATTTAAAGGGGATGTACTTTCTTTTTACCCTAACTGTAGACTCTGACCAGTTCTGTTGGAAGTATTTCTAACCTGTAGCTTATAAACTCTTCTCTCTGTACCCACAGGACTGTAGCTGACGTCTTTGATGATGATAACTGAGGCCAACCATATGTTGCCACCATGTGGCCCAACTAATACATTTCACTTTCATTTTCTTTTTTTGAGTACCCTTTACATTTGATTAATAATGACTGAACAAAAACTGAAAATAAGCAATAATATATGTGTTTACTGTTGTTACTTGTCAAGCCATACTTTTAAAATGTTACTTTTAATTTGTTCTGAATTATATCTAATAAAAATCTAAAAGATATGCTTAGTGATCAATGTATTGGATATAAAATGCTGAAAAGTGACAGTGTGGTTCCTTGTATATCTAGCCCTAACCTATGAATTCACATTTTGTCAAATTACACCCACAAATTTGAATCTATTTAATTGGAATTTTACATGATGGACCAACACTAAGAGCCACACAATATTGAAATGGAAGGTTTTCAAAACTTTGTATAAATAATAATACATTTTCACTACAATTTGAGGCAGTATATTATACACTGTTCTATCAGAATAAATGATAATCTTATGCTGCATATTGTACTTTTAGCTAACAATTTTAATCTTTACCATGACATTTCTGATCTAAACCTTTCACATCCTAAAATTTGCAGTATAACTGAAACATTGTTTAGGTCCCCAAAAGGCTAATGCATCTAAGGAAAAAATGACCTTCTTTCCTTACCAATGTACACATGTATCCTTTTTGGGAAATGGAGCTGCTTCAATCATTTCTGCAACTTAAGCTTGACCCTTAAATTCACCATTACCTGATTGCAATTTGCACTTCACCTTACTAGATTATTAGATAAACCAGAAATTCTGCAGGCAAAGCAACAAACATGTTTAGACTGTACTGTATGTTTAGATCGTATGTTTAAACATACAGTTTATATTAAGTTATTATACAGGTTTTGTATTTGCCATGTAAATCTGTGAAACAATATAAACTTTGGTTTGTGAACATTGCCTGAAGGACCCAGAGTAACCCAAGGATAGAGAATTATTCTAAATAAATTCACTTTTTATTACTACACCTGAGGACCAGATCCTGTTTTTATTGCTACTTTCTATTATCATTTTAGTGTGTGTAAAAGTTAGAGTTATCAATGTTTTGTGTGTGAAAGCTTTAAAAAATTCTAAATATGCAGTGGATGGAGGCTTTTGGATGCCCAAATCCTGGCAGAATATGGACTGGAAGCCCCGAGGTCAAAGTGGGGAACACCCCCAAAGGTGGTGGAGAATGACCG